CATCTTGGCCCGGGGTGGGGGTGGGTGGGTGGGGGTGGGGGGGGGTTGCATGTTGGCGCATTTACTCCTCTTCTTAGAAGCATCATAGAATTCTATATCTTGTTTCGCTTTCTTACTGGGAACCCATCATCTGCAGGCAGATCAAAGATAGGTGCAACCTTTAAGGTTCTTAATGCTGAGCATATTGTTTTTTCCAAAATTATGGGTTCAAAACTTAATTTTTTTGAGGTTGTAGTAGTCTTTCACATATCTATGTTCTGTGTTGAAATTCTGAGTTGTTGAACCCATTGGATACGGAGTGGTATCTGCCACTGATCATCTCACAGTGGCTTCTGATCCCTTTCCTGAATACTTGCACTCTTATGTACTTAAAGCCATATGTAATAAATATTAGACACTGGCAATCTTTACTTTCCATTTTATATTTTGGTCCATGTCATTTCTTGTGCATATCTTTGTTTTATTTCTGCTATTCCTAGCAAAGGAAGAATTGAGAAACATGGCCTTATGTTTCTCGCACTTCTATGGAGGAGATGAAGCAAGGTTAGTCGTTGTTTCCTTTGTGATTTTAATCTGTGTCACACCTATCAAAATAAATGCCTTGATCTTCTGATATAGTATGCCATTTTTGTGTCATGAAATTGTCAATTTTCGACTTGTTCTTCAGAGTTGTATGTTAATACTGTTTCACTATGGCTTCTTTCAGTTGTGATATCTGTCTTTGTTCTGGATCACAAAATGGTTTTGTTTTTGTTGTTTTGCTGATGTCCTTTAGCTGACATGGTAACTTCAATGGATACTTATGGCTGTTCTCTTTCGCATCCCCGTGTTGGGGAATTCACTTTTTGTGTATCCTCCATTACAATTTACATAGCCTTTTATAGGCATAAAATGAGAAAACTTACTATTGTAAATAGTGAATGGGATGGACATAAAGTAGGAGATTTCATCTGAAAGCTATTCACATGCATGGGCATCCAATCTACAAACTATTCATAACACTCCCCCTTGGATGTCGATGTAAGATAATGTGCCTTATTAAGAACTTACAAAAAAATATTGGGACGTACATAGTTATTTATAATATGCATTGGTTGCTGCCTCATTAAAAACCTTACCAGGAAAATCCAGTGGGATAAAACCTTGGTTAAGGAAAAGAGTGCAGCGCGTAGTTACTCCCCCTGATGAAAACATCACTTAATGTCTCGAAGACGACGCATTCCAATCTTGTATATTAGCTTTTCAAATGTTGAGGTTGGTAATGCCTTAGTGAACAGATCAGCTAATTATCACTTGAACGAACTTGTTGAATATTTATTTCACCATTCTTTTGAAGATCATGAGTGAAAAAGAATTTCGGTGAAATGTGTTTTGTTCTACTCCTTTGATGTATCCTCCTTTCAATTGAGTTATGCATGCAGCATTGTCTTCCTACAATATTGTTCGAAGAAAGACCACATGTTTCCTGAATGTGTTGAGTTATCGATCTCAACCAAACGCATTCTCGACTTGCTTCGTGAATGGCTATTATCTCTGCAGGATTTGAAGAAGTAGCAACCATAGTTTGTTTCGTTGAACGCCATGATATGGCTGTGCCTCCACTTGTAAATAAATAGCCTGTCTGAGATCGACCTTTATGTGGATCAGACAAATATCCTGCATCTGCATAACCAATCAATGATGACTTGGATCCATTTGAATAAAATAAACCCATATCAATGGTCCCTTGGAGGTATCTGAATATATGTTTAACACCATTCCAGTGTCTTTGTGTTGGCGAAGAACTAAATCTTGCCAATAAGCTTACTGAGACAGCTATATCTGGTCGGGAATTATTGGCAAGATACATTAATGCGCCAATTGCACTAAGATATGGTACTTTGGCACCAAGAAGCTCTTCATCATTTTCATGAGGTCGGAATGGATCTTTCTTTATATCAAGTGATCTCACAACCATCGGGGTACTCGATGGATCTGCTTTATCCATATAGAATCACTTTAAAATCTTTTCGGTGTATGTTGATTGATGGACAAATATTCCATCTTTCATATACTCAATTTGTAGACAAAGATAAAATCTTGTCTTCCCAAGATCTTTCATTTCAAATTCTTTTTTCAAACAGTCTACTGCTTTTGGAAGCTCCCCAGGAGTTCCAATGATATTTAAATCATCAACATACGCGGCGATTATAACAAATTCAGATCCAGGCCTTTTTATAAAGACACAAGGACAAATTGGATCATTCTTGTACCCTTATTTCAACAGGTATTCACTCAGGCGATTGTACCACATACGACCTGATTGTTTCAATCCGTATAAAAATTTCTGAAGCTTTATTGAACAAGTTTCACGAAAACTTTTATATGCTTCTGGCACCTTAAATCCCTCAGGTACTTTCATAAAAATTTCGTTGTCTAATGATCCATACAAATGGGCTGTGACAACATCCATTAGACACATATCAAGTTTTTCATGCACTGCCATATTTATGAGATACCTGAAGGTGATAGCGTCCACTACAGGAGAATATGTCTCCATATAATCAATGCAGGCCTTTGCGAAAACCCTTGTGCCACAAGTCGCGCTTTATATCTAACGACTTGATTTTTATCATTTCGTTTTCGCACAAAAACCCATTTATACCCTACTGGCTTTATGCCTTCAGGTGTTCGAACTATGGGTTCGAAGACTTCATGTTTTCCAAGTGAAGTTAACTCTGCCTGGATAGCGTCTTTCCATTTTGGCCAATCATTTCTCTGTCTACATTCATCGACAGATTTTGGTTCAAGATCCTCATCTTGTTGCATTATTTCAACAGCCACATTATAAGCAAAAATGTTATCGATAATAATATTATTTCGGTTCCATCTTTTTCCCGTTGAGACGTAACTTATTGATATCTTTTCATTCTCATTATTTTCAGGTACTTGGACCTCCCCTAAGGTCTTATCATTTGTTACATCTTGGGGCTCTTCTTGAGCTACTACCTCCGTGTTATGATCATTTTGATCATTTGCTCCTTTTCTTTTTTGAGGATTTTTATCTTTAGAACCAATTGGTCTACCACGTTTCAACGTGGCTTAGACTCATTTGCTTTAATTGATTGTCTACCGGAATATCAACTCGAATTGGAGCATTAACAACTGGAATATGTGACTTAGTCACCCTTGGTAGGTCAGTGAATGCATTTGGCAATTGATTTGCAATATTTTGCAAATGAATAATCTTTTGAACCTCTTATTCACATTGATTTGTTCGAGGATCTAAATGAGACAGTGATAATGCATTCCAATCTATCTCCCTTTTCAGCTGCTTATTTTCTCCCCCTAATGTTGGGTATACCATTTCATCAAAATGGCAATCAGAAAATCTTGCCGTAAATATATCTCCAGTCATCGGCTCTAGATATTTTATAATAGAAGGAGATTCATATCCAACATATATCCCCAACCTTCTTTGAGGACCCATCTTTGTGCGTTGTGGTGGAGCAATTGGAACATATATCGCACAACCAAAGATTCTAAGATGGGAAATATTTGGCTCCTGACCAAAAGCCAATTGCAATGGGGAGACTTTATGATAACTTGTGAGCCTTATCCGCACAAGTGCTGCTGCATGTGAAATAGCATGACCCCATGCTGAAATGGGAAGTTTTGTTCTCATAAGCATTGATCTAGCAATTAATTGGAGGCGTTTGATCAGTGATTCCGCAAGACCATTTTGTGTATGAACATGAGCAACCGGATACTCAATTGTTATCCTAGTTGATATACAATAATCATTAAAAGCTTGGGATGTAAACTCACCAGCATTATCAAGACGAATTGTCTTAATTGCATAATCTGGAAATTGTGCTCTTAGCTTTATTATTTGAGCCAACAATCTCGCAAATACCATATTGCGAGTTGATAGTAAGCACACATGTGACAATCTTGTAGATGCATCTACTAAAACCATATAATATCTGAATGGTCCACATGGAGGGTGAATGAGCCCACATATATCACCATGTATACGTTCCAGAAATGCAGGGGATTCCATCCTAACTTTAATAGTTGATGGTCTAATAATTAATTTGCCTTGAGAACATGCAGCACAAGAGAATTCCTTAAATTGAAGAATCTTCTGGTTTTTCATTGAATGTCCATGTGAATTCTCAATTATTTTACGCATCATATTAGAACCAGGATGGCCTAACCGGTCATGCCAAATAATAAAATTCTTGATTAGTAAACTTTTTGTTTTACTACGGCATGTGTTTCAATCCTGGTAATACTTGTGTGGTATAAGCCGGAGGAAAGAGCAGTAACATTTCAATTTCTTACCAGACATTATTGTAATAATGTAAAGATATTCAATCTTTTCGTCATTTGTAGTCTCAATATGGTAGCCATTTTGGCGAATATCTTTGAAACTTAATAAGTTTCTTTGAGATTAACTACAATATAATGCTTCATCAATAGCCAAATTTGTTCCTCCTGGTAGTAATAAATTGGCTCTTCCAGAACCTTCAATTAATCTTGTACTATCGGATATTGTATTAACATTGGCTTCTTTCATTACCAAATAAGAGAAATATCTCTTATCTCTTAAAATAGTGTGTGTTGTAGCACTATCCAGAGGACATATATCATCCTTATTAATCTTGAGTCCAACTGAAGACTGAGAAATTTTCATATTCTTCATAAAAAAATTAAAAAATACATTATAAGAAATATGAAAGACAAAAAAAAGAACATTAAGAAATACATTAGGAATGTAGAAACTAGCAACACATGATGCAATAGGAAAATACACTCAAGAAAAATAAACTAGTTGCAAACATAAAAAAAAATATCAACTTTTAATATAGCTTCATTCCCTAGTAAGATGATTAGTTCTTCAGTCAATATCCTCAAAGAAGTCTCCAGTTTCTAAATGAGTAATATTTGCTAGGCCTCCAAAATCATAATCTTTATATGCAAGATATGCCTCAGGATCATATTTGTTTGAGGGACCTGCTTCATCATCATTATTTTGAAAAGTCAAGTGTGCCTCCATATTATTTTCTTTCTTTCTGAGGGAGGCTTGATAAAGTTTGACAAAATGACCTGGCGTACGACAAATGCGTGCCCAATGACCTTTCATACCACATCGGTGACACACTAATTTTACCTTTTGAAGGATTAATTTGAGAACCCTTATTGTTCTCCAGTTCATTTTCACCATAATGACGATAATTGTTTCGTCCCCTGCCACGTCCACGTTCACGACCATGTCCACGACCACGGTAATTATTTTGTTTTCTTTCAAACTTATCATATGCTGCTACAGCATTCGCTTCCGGAAATGGAGCTGACCCAGTGGGACGGGCTTCATGATTTTTTATAATAGAGTATTATTCTGCTCTGCCACAAGTAGGCATGTGATTAACTCAGAATATTTTTTTAAAAACCTTTTTCTACGGTATTTGCTGTTGTAGTACCTACATTTGAAGCGTGAAAAAAGTGAAAAAATACTTTTTTCAAATTTAAAGTCCTCA